CTGTTCGGCGTTAATGTTATTAAGGTGTCCAAGTCATAATCAAAGAAATATATATGTAAAGCATTACAATTTTCTAAATGTCGTCTTTGTTTTTTTTCATTATAATCAGCCTTTTGGCTAAGTTCAGGTGCAGAGCTAAATTTTACATGAACTTTGTAGGGTCTTTGCTAAGCAGAGGGGTTAAGATACAGGTATTATAATGCTTAGTCTCAGGATCAGACTACTGGAACCTACAACATCTCATCATGTGACTATCATTTGAGAAAGAAAGGAGAAAAATCCTAACAAGATCATATTGACAGCATTTTAGTATTTACTCTGCAGTTTGAGCACCACACCCATTCTGATCAGAAATGACATTTTCAGTTAAGACTTGTTGGCTTGGGCCATCACTTAGGACCACTGCTCTACTGATGAGAGTTTTGTATCAAGGACCGAGGCTAACAACTAAGGTTTCAGCTAGGCCTTAGATACATTTTTCAGAAGCATGTAAGTCCTATTTTCAAAAAGAAGCCTCCACTTTTAAGGTGCCTAGAAAGTCAATGATCCCTAATCTACAACATAGCTGCACTGTTTCAATGAAAGATTGGGGATTAACCGATTTAGTTAGACCAGCACCAAATTCCATATAGATGCTCTTAATTTGGTTCAAGTCAGATCATATCAATCTGGTTTAACTCAATTCCTTACCATGTTAGTCTCAACTGATTGCCTTTGGGTTTATCAAAGGCAGGTCCTACCTCACCAACCTGATTGCCCTTTATGACCAGGTAACTAAATCCTTGGATGATGGTGTCGCCATGGACGTAATCTTTCTAGACTTTAAGAAGGCCTTTGACACTGTCTCTCACCCCATTCTCATTAATAAATTAAGTGACTGTGGCATTGATGCCTACACAGTTGGATGGGTAAGAAATTGGCTGACGGGGCGCACACGGAGAGTAGTGGTGGATGGGTCGTACACCACCTGGTGAGATGTGAGTAGTGGGTCCCCCAGGGCTCGGTCCTTGGACCTGCACTGTTTAACATCTCAATCAGCGACTTGGACAAGGGGGTTGAAAGCACGTTGTCCAAGTTTGCTGATGACACTAAGATGTGGGGTGAGGTGGACACACTTGAAGGGAGAGAAAGGCTGCAACTAGATTTAGACAGACTACAAAAGTGGGCAGATGAGAATAGGATGGGATTCAACGTAGAAAAATGAAGGGTCCTGCACCTTGGGAGAAGGAATCCACAGCATACATACAGGTTGGCGAATTCCCCTCTTGAAAGCACAGAGGCGGAACGGGATCTTGGAGTCATTATTGACTCCAAGATGAGCATGAGCTGCCAATGCCAGACCGCAGCCAGCAAGGCCAGCCATACCTTGTCATGCATCCAAAGATGCATCTCAAGCAGG